TGATATAAACTTGTAATCCCTTATTATTTTGAAATACTTTGATGAAATTCTATATTAGGAAATTATATTTAAATGAAAATTTTATTATTCCCATTTTGTGAAATTTATTATTTTGAATTTAAATTAAGGTGTTACAATTTTGGTATCACAGCAGTTCATCCAAATCGGACTAGGGTATCGGGCTGAAGCGTCCAAGTTGAGTGTTGATGTGTTTTGATTACCTAAAATTTAAATGTTGTTATTAACCCGACGAGTTTAGTGTGGTTTGTTACATTGTTTGCTAGCTTAGATTAGAATGGCTGGTAGAGGTAGAGGAGCTGGAGCCACTAACAACCTCATGGAGCGTATGACTCAAATTCTAGAAACCTTGGTGCACAACCAAGGCGGAGAGCCAGCTGAATACCGAGGCTTGTCTGCCTTCACTAGGCACAATCCTCCAAAGTTTGAGGGAGGGTTTGACCCTGAGGGAGCTCAGAGGTGGTTGGCTAATGTGGAGAAGATCTTTCACACAATGGGGTGCTAGAGGAGCACAAGGCGAACTACGCCACCTACATGCTATGTGGGGAGGCAGAAGATTGGTGGAGGTTTGCCCGTCAGACGTTGCCACAGGAAGGTGGCTACATTCAGTGGGAAACCTTTAAGGCAATCTTCCTAGGGAATTACTTTCCTCGGGATCTGAAGAAGAAGAAGGCCAGAGAGTTTCTCGAGCTGAAGCAAGGAAGCATGACAGTAGGGGAGTATGCAGCAAAGTTCCAAGAGCTGATGAAGTACTGGTCTCACTATCAGCATGAAGATGGGGAGGAGGACTTGTATGCTCAATTTGAGCATGGATTAAGGCTAGACATCTGAGCTGCAGTCAGCGTGTTCTAGCTAATAGACTTGCCCCATTTGGCAAGCAAGAGCAAAATATTTGAAGTCAATTCAAAGGGAAAAACAGTGGACACTAGGGGGACCGGTCTAGTGAGGCAAGATAGAAGACATCCTAGATTCTCTAAGGGGCCATATTCAGGCTTGAGTAATTCACGGTCTAAAGGGACTTCATCTCAAGAGAAGAGTAGTTGGAGTGACTCAAGATCAAGCTCTTTTAGAGGGTCGATCAAATGCTTCAGGTGTGGAGGGCCACACATGGTAAGGGACTGCCGCAGCCAAGTACGAATTGTAGTAACTCTGGAAAGTCGGGACACACTGCCAATGTGTGTTGGGCTGCTAAGAGGATTGGAAGTGTGAGTGCGGCTCAGAGACCTGAGTTGAGAGGAAGCACAGGGCTGAAGTCGAGTATCCCTGGGAAAGTCTTTGCCATAAGTAGAGCAGAGGCTTCACAGTCTGAGGAGCTGATCAGAGATAAACATGTTATTAAGGGAAAATTACTGGATGTATTGTTTGACTTGGGTGCTACACACTCTTTTATTTCTGTGGACTGTGTGAAGAGTATGGGTTTAGGCAAGTGAAGAAATGATTGAAGCTGGGGTCGAGTAATATTGCATCAAAGTCCTTTTTCTTTATATTTTGAGACCTCATGTAGAGGGAGCTACGTAGTATAATTTTGGGTATTTTGAATATTATGAACTAAATGTAATATTATGTTGTTCTGTTGGATATTTGTTGTAAGAAACTTTGTTTTATTTTAATTGAGAAGGGAATTTCATACTTATATTATCTATTATTTATTTATCTTAAATAAGTATGTGATGTACAAACAATGTTCTCGGTTCCTTACAAAAAGGGGTCGTGAGAACTGTCGTGCAACGTTGTGGTGACTACCTCTACGGGTAAGTCGGTTGTGACATCATGGGTGTGTTTATAATGCTTTATAATGATGCATGGTAGGGAATTTGAGGTGGACTTAATATGTTTGCCTCTATCCCAATTGGATGTGATTTTGGGGATGGATTGGCTAGCTGCCAACCATGTGCTATTGGACTGTAGAGAGAAGACTTTGATCTTCTGTGCAACAATGACGGAAATCCTGAGACTAATGAGCCAAAGTGCGTGGGAGAACACAGTGAACGCCAAGGCCTTTATGGTGATCTATTCAATGGAGGCCGAAAGCGTGGTGGAGCTAGAGTACATCACGATGGTGAGGGATTTTTTGAGCTACCACTTGAGAGGGAGATAGAGTTTGCTATTGACCTCATTCAGGGGGTGAGCCCGATTTCTTTGGCACCTTATAGGATGTCACCGGTGGAGTTGGCGAAGGTCAAAAAGCAAGTGGAGGACTTATTACAAAAGAAGTTTGTAACACCGAGTGTGTCACCGAGGGAAGCACAAGTGCTCTTGGTGAAGAAGAAGGATGAGAGCATGAGGATGTGTGTGGATTACTGGCAGCTGAACAAGGTAACGATAAAGAACAAGTATCCACTCCCGAAGATTGACGATTTGATGGACCAGTTGAGAAGAGCTGCAGTGTTTTCTAAGTTTGACCTGAGGTTGGGGTACCATCAGATCAGGGTGAAGGATGAGGATGTACCTAAGACAACATTGAGGATGCGGTATGGTCACTATGAGTATTTGGTGATGCTGTTTGGAGTGACCAATGCGCCTGCAGTGTTCATAGACTACATGAATAGGATCTTCCACGAGTTTTTGGATAAGTTTGTGGTGGTGTTCATTAACGACATCCTGATTTATTCAAAGACTCAGGAAGAGTACGCCAAGCACTTGAGGATTGTTTTGCAAATTTTGAGGGAGAGGCAGTTGTATGCAAAATTTTCCAAGTGTGAGTTTTGGCTGTCAGAGATCCAGTTTCTAGGGCATGTAATGTGGATCCTGCAAAAGTGGAAGCAATAGTGGATCCTGCAAAAGTGGTGGATCCTGCAAAAGTGGAAGCAATAGCTGGTTGGCCGAGGCCAAAAATATGATTGAGGTTCACAATTTTCTGGGATTAGCGGGCTATTATAGCTTTGCCCTTAACGAAGCTGACCCACAAGGGATGGGAGTTTAAATGGACCAAAGGGTGTGAAGCTACTTTCTTAGAGCTGAAAATAAAGTTGACTTCAGTGCCTATGTTAGTTTTGTCCGACCTGGAGCAGAAGTTTGATGTGTATTTCGATGCGTCTGAGCATGGACTCAGGTGTGTTTTGATGTAAGATGGACGAGTGGTTGCTTATGTCTTAAGCCAATTTGCGCCTGCATGAAGTCAACTATCCGACGCATGACTTGGAATTAGCCGCGGTGGGTTTTGCTCTTAAGGTATAGAGGCATTACCTATATGGAGCAAGGTGTAAAGTGTTCAGTGATCACAAAAGCTTGAAATACCTACTTGATCAGAGGGAAGTGAACATGCGGCAGAGCAGATGGATGGAATTCCTTAAGGATTATTATTTCACATTGTCTTACCATCTTGGTAAGGCAAATGTGGTGGCCGATGCATTGAGCAGGAAGTCATTGCACATGGCAGCAATGATGGTAAAAGAGATGGAGCTGATTAAGGAATTTCGGCACATGAACTTGGCCATGGAGGTGAGAACGGAGAGTTTGTATCTCAGAGCAACGACAATTCATAACGACTTCTTAGTGTACGTCTTAGATGCTCAACAGAGAGATGCCTTCCTGCAAGACATGATGAGGCAGAAGGGTGAGGGAAAGGATTTGGAGTTTCACTGTGATGAGAACGGGGTGATTAAGTTTCAGAACCAAGTATGCGTTCTTCAAGTGGATGAGTTGAAGCAAATGATACTTGAGAAAGCACATAAGAGTAGGATGAGCTTCCACCCCGGTGTGACCAAAATGTATCAGAATCTCTGAAAGAGCTTTTGGTGGCATTAGATGAAGAGGGATGTGGCTGAATATATGGCTAGATGCCTAACCTACCAGAAGGCAAAGGTAGAGCACCAGCGTGGAGAAATAGGAAAATGATTTTCTCCAAGCCCTAACCCCTCAAATACCCTTCTGGTCGCGACACTCTCGCTGCAGCAACACTCCCTCTCGCTACAACAAAAATCTTAGAGGAAACTGCACTCTAGTTTCTGTAGAATTTTGCTACAGCGAGACCTTCTGGCTACAGCGAGACTGCACCCAGAAATGCACCCCAAACTGTCGTTCTGTCGCTATAGCGAGGGACCTCTCGCTACAACGAGAAGGTGATAGTTTCACCTTTCATGCCCAGTGCCTTCTCGCTACAGTGAGAATGTCCTACAGCAACATCCACAATTAGCCTGCAATCACACACACACACACACACACACACACACACACACACATATATATATATATATATATATATATATATATACATATAATCTATTCCAGTCCAGTCACAATTCACATTCACATTTTTATACATGTCCACATCATCCTTATGTCAATCAACACACCCTATATGGCTATCCACACATATAAATACGTATATTAATAATCACACAATATTGCAAAATTCAGGGCGTTACAGCGAGGAGCCTCTCGCTACAGTGAGAACGCAACAGAATCACCCCTTTCTCCTAGAACCTTCTTGCTACAGCGAGAACACCACAGATCCATGCTCTACGCCTAAGGCCTTCTCGCTACAACGAGAATCCACTCACTGCAGTGAGAACGCCCCTGCATCACACACTTAGCCTATTTTTCAATCATTCTAGCACATCCCATCTCAATGCATAATTAGCATCCACATTTATCACATGTATACACATATATCCACATCAGCATGTACATCAAATACACATTCAAATAGCAACCCATACATTTATATTAATAGTCAAACAATATTACACATTTATATTGATCACCTTGCCTGGGCGAGGTGAAAGTTGGGCTGATTCTATCCTATCTCGCTCTCAAGCGATAGCCCTACAACATCATATTTCTGGGCACTCAATCTTACCTGAGCGAGATTTGCCTCGCTTGAGTGAGATCTCCTGCACCAAAATCCTTCTAAAATCCTCTATACTCACTTCTAAAAGTATTCTAATACTATTTAATATTAAACAAAACATAATTTACTGAATAATGAAAAAGAGGGTGTTACACTACTCTTACCTTTTTAGGAATTTCAACTTTGAAATTCACTGATTCAAGAAGAGATGAGGGTATGCTTCCTTCATTTTGTCCTCAGACTCCCAAGTGGCATCTCCTTCATCACTTGCATTCCAGATTACCTTTACCAATGAAATATCTTTACCCCTTACTTGCTTGACTCGATGATCCACAATCTCTACAAGGAAAATATCATATGACAAATTCTCTTGAACTTGGATAGGATCAAGTTCAATCACATGAGAAGGATTCGAAATGTATTTCCTTAGTTGCGACACATGAAAACAGGAAAAATGGGTAGCTCTTTGGACCCAATCTTGCTCAAGCAAGATGCAGCTAGCTCAAGCGAGATGTCCCTCACTCAAGCACGAATAGCAGAAATCTCAGAGGTTCTATTGTCTAGTCTGCTCGTCCAGGCAAGAGCAGGGCCCGCTTAGGCAAGAGTTAGCTCACTTAAACGAGAGCACGAGGGCTTGAAAGGGTATTTAAGGAACCCTAGAGCAGGGAAACACTCATTTCTCACCAGACAACCTTTCTCTCTCATTTTCTCTCTGTTCTCTCACCTATTGCCCTTAGCGAAAGCCTTCTCGAAGCCGAATTCCTTCTCGATCAAAGTGAGAACATGTACCTCATCAAGATCCAGGTGAGTTTCCAGAGTCCAGTTCTCTGTCTTTACAATTGTTCTTTGTTTTCTCTTTCTCAAGAGTTTCATACTATGTCGTAAGGAATAGATCTAAATCGTTCGAGTCATATTCCGTATCTGAACGTTGGATCTATGTCCTTGGACTCATGAGAAGTATGATCTTAGAAACTCATTCCAGGTAAGGGGAGTTTATCCTAGAAAATCCTTATTACCTATTTGGGTATTATGATATCGTTCATAATCTTGCTTTAGTTAAGAATGATTGATGTATGAACAAACCTTAGGGTCGAACCTAGAGCATGTTTGACTGGGTGGGATCTTAGTTGTTCTGTGAATGGTAGAAAATGATTCCATGCTTGAGATGAATGTTTGAAATGTTGTGGTAGAACATAACATGCTGAGAAGATGTGATAAATGTGCCAAAAATGTGTAATATGTACTAAAATGCTTAATTAATATTGCGAGATGCTTGATTTTGCTGTGAAAATATATATATGGTGGTGTTGTTAAGGTTGAGAATAGATTTAGTTGTGCTAGATCACATATATTTTCATCATTCTAGAGCTGGGTAACATGTTCATGTGTTAGACATGTAACGGTAGGACGCTGAGCTATACTTTGTCTGAATCCAGATACTGGGATAGGTCTCTCCCAGACCAGAAACAGTTCCACTGGATTACTTAGGCTATGAAAATAGTTGGAACTGAATCGTTGCATTTGCATTAGATGGGCTAGGAATGAGCCGAACATATTGCATCAATTGTTTGAGACTGTTGTGCTGATTGCTATGAACTATATGAGTTGTACAAATAATTTTAATATTTTCATACTCTATAGTTATGATTCTTATTTACATAAGCTCACCCTTGCACTTGTTTTTGTTGTCCTATGTGTGTGATGCGATGATCGTACAGTGGTACGTGAACAGGAGTGATAGGTGGAGTGTTCACTTTCCATGCTGGAGAGTCTGGCTAAGGAGTGGTCTGGACCGAAGATTTTGAGATCTATAGCTTAGTTTCTATTAGTCTAGGTTTTAGTGTGAACTTAGGCTATTTGGCTACAAAATTTATGTTATGATGTAATTATTATTTATAACTTGTATTTTGAGCTCCATGTATAGCATCTGTTGTAAACATATATATAATTTTTAAAATTTTTTCAATCATATGAAAATGCCATTGGGCTTAGTTATTCTGTTGCGGTTAAATTTTTGAAAAATATATTTTTTGCTCTCTCTCTCTCTCTATATATATATATATATAATATTATTTGGCAAATAAATTTATATTAGGAGCACTGACATATGATGTCATTGATCCTTTATAAAAAGGGGTTGTGACAATTTTTCATCAGTAAAATAATTTTATTTGAAAGATAGTTTAATTTCAAAATCAAAGAAAAACCTAGACTTTAGAAACATGGTCAAATATTTTATTCTCCTATTTAAAATAATTTAATAATTTTTAATCATATTATTATATCATCTATATTTAGAAAAATATAAAATCAAAATAAAATAACTTTTTATAGTATAAAATTTTGAAAGTAATAAATTAATATTATTTTTTTAATAAAATAATATTATTATATAGCTATAAAACAAACGATAAAATTACAAAATATTAGTAACATGTTACTGTTATAATTAAAAACCTCAAAAGCAAAATAAAAATTTAAACTTATAAGTTATAATAAAGGCTTAAATACAGTTTTAAACTCATCAGCGAAATATGTAAATTAATACTAATAGATTTCATTATTGCAGACAAATTTATAAACAAGTTAAACACGTCTTCTATGGATTTTTTAAAGAGTACGAATTAATTTCATTATTATAGACAAGTTAATCTCGTTCGTAATTTCTTTATTTGTAAATCAATACAAACAAATTTTTAAATTCGTTTGTAAATTATAGATAAATTTTTCTACTTTATTGTTTTTGGGATGTCTAACTCAACCTCATACTTAATGACCATTCAGCCGGACGAACAGGAGGATCTTTATTTTCAATAGTTATTTTCTTTAATTTGTTGGCAAGACACCTATAAGGATGTTTCATATTTAAAAATCTCCTATGACAATCAAATCACAATATTTTTTCTGTTACACTTCAAAATAAATGACTTTGTATCTTACATACAAATTAGACATGCTGATTTTCCTCGAATCATCTATGTAGACAACCTTCCATAAGCATACATGGGTACATAACTGTTAAAAAATAGAGAACAAACGTTTGCGCTGTGATTCAAACCATTGTCTTGAAAACAAAAGTTTGGCAAAACCTTTAGTGTAATTTGATGGTCAATTTTGCTCTTCAAGACACTCTACATGCTTGATTTTGTGCACTCAAAGTCAAATATGACGGAGTCTCACAACTAGTGCTTAGAAGGACAACATAAAAAAGAATGGTGCATCCAAAGTAAATATGAAACTACATTATATATATATTAGAAAATTAAAAATCAAATTCAATTAATACAATCATAAAAGAAGATTAATGACCACTAGAGTAGATCCTTTAATGATGAAGAATGTAATAAACAGCAATAGATTGTTAATGAAATTTGTTTCTAATAGCTTTAAGCACTACTAGAAAAGCGCTTAATATAGATGAATTTTACAGACGGGAAAAAATCCGTCTGTAATACAGACGGATTTTCCCCCGTCTGTACAATTCGTCTGTATTTTGCCCGCCTTTTGGCGCCAAACGTTATAGACAGTAATTACAGACGGATTTTTCCGTCTGTAATTTGAAAATAGGACGAAATATTATAGCGGGAAATTACAGACGAATTTTCCCGTCTGTAAATATGGCGGTTTTAGCCGACCTTTCAGGTGGCACATTACAGACGGATTTTTCCGTCTGTAAATGGGATTGACGCATTTACAGACGGAAAAATCCGCCTGTAATGTGCCTCCTGAAACGCACCGTTTCATTAAACCTATAACAGACGGATTTTCCCGTCTGTAATGACTGAAACCCATTAAAACCGCGTCTCCTGTTCCCCTCCCCCATCAGAACCCTCTCTCTCTCTCTCGCTCCCCCCTCTCTCTCTCTCTAAGAGCTCAGTGTTTTGGCCATTGCGAGTTATTGGAGCAACCATTTGAAAGTTTTTTTACATCATTGTATTCCTGGTACGATACTCTAACTTTTAATCGGTTTAGTTTTTTAATTTTTTATGTTTTTTAGAGACTTAAAATTTCTAAGATAGAGTTGTAGGATTGGAGATTGTATGACTGGGGGGAAGGGCGTAGAGGTCCTTCTCCGAACCTGATTATTGTGTGCTGTGGGATTGTTTGTGTTTGTGGAGTTTGTAGAATATGCATGTTGTGGAATTACAAGGGGATGTGCTCTAGAACGGTTTAGGATTGTGATGTGTTTGTGTTTGATGTATCGAATAATTTATTGTTATATAATTTATTAGTTGATTTTACGTGAAATTTTCATTTTTGTAAAAAAATAGTAAACAAATGTAAGGAAATTAACATGTATTAGGGGAGATTCTGCCAAAATTTATATTAAAATTTTCTGTAATGTATTTTAGAAGGTTGATACCACATTGTATATTTGTATTAGATTTATATAGTTCTTGAGGAAGATGTTTCTCAGAAATCGTCAGTGGATGTATGATAGGTTGCACCTAAGTCGGGGGGGAATAAAACCTGAATTCTTTGAGGGTGTAGAGGAATTTATACGCGTCTGTTGTAATTCGCAGCAATTCATCACCAATCAGGTCGTTAGGTGTCCATGTTCTAAGTGCAAGTGTAGAAAGTTTTTGGATATTGATTCAATTAGATATGATTTGTATAAGTTTGGATTTAAACATGATTATTGGATATGGACTGAGCATGGGGAAGAAGTTAATTTAGAAAATCAAGTAGGTAATTCAAATATATTACAATCAGGTGGTCATGTAGGTAATGTAAGTTGGGAAGAAAGCAATAGTCGTTATCAAGAAATGGTTTATGATGCTGTTGGTCCTCAATTTGGAATTTTTCATGATTTTGAAGCTGAACAAGAACCTAATGGAGAGGCTGCAAAGTTTTATAATGTTTTAGAAGCAGCAAACAAGCCTTTATGGGATGGGTGTGTGCATTCAGAGTTATCTTTAGCAATAAGAATGTTAAGCATAAAGTCAGAAGGCAATCAAAGTCAGAGTTCATTTGATCAATGGGCTACATTAATTAGTGAGCTTAGTCCCGAACCTGACTCCATCCCAAAGGACTTTTACCAAGCCAAAAAATTAGTTTCCAAACTTGGATTAAAAGAAGTGAAAATTGATTGTTGTTTGAAAGGCTGCATGCTGTATTACAAAGATGATGCTGTTTTGACCAATTGCAAATTCTGTGGAGAGCCTAGGTTTAAACCAAGAAGAGGTGGTAGAAGTGGTAAACATAACCATTACAATATAATTGAGATTAACCATACCAAAAGATATAGAGGCTTTGACCCCTTCATCATTGCACAAAATGCGAGACAAGTATATTTCTTATCTTACCCTGGAAAATGTAATAAAAGTTGGAGGATTGTAATTAAAACTAAACCAAGGGGTCGAATTGAAAGTGATGAAGTAGATGATGAAGATGCATATCAAATTGATGACTCAATTCCTTCACGTGTAGTAATAGACACTGTTGTCTCTCCAATTTTATCTTCTCCTTTGAATGACATTGAAATAATTGACCCTCCTACCCAAGTTATGAGATATAATGAAATGGATGACATCATAGAAGACGAGGATGAAGGAATTATGGATGAACTTTCATCAAATGATGATGAAGGTAGTCTTGAACTATCAGAGTAAATGAGGTAAAGTAAGTAGGTTTGTCAATTTACTATGTTGCCATGATTATTTAATTTGAGTTATCACCAATATTATTCATATTTTAAACAAATTATAGTATTTGTGTCTAAACATATATATGGTTTGATTCAGATATGGCAGGTAAAGGTAAAGGTAAGAAGGGTATTACTCAGCAAACTGATCGTGGCAACACTTCTTCACCTACCGCTCCGACTTCGACGTCCACACCAGCAACAGTGCAGACCTCCCAGGTTAGGGGAC